ACACGCGCAGCGCACGCATGCGTACTAGCGTCTGTGCGAGGCTCCAGCTGCTCCTGGCGGATCGCGCAGGCGCTGTATGCGTCCTGTGCAGGCGCTGTATGCGTCCTGCACATGCGTGGAAGCACCGAACTCGCCAAAGCGGGTAAGGAACGCGGGCGGGCGGGTGGACCCTTCGCCGTTCCCGGAAGTTACTTACTTCCGGGTTCACCGACCAACCGGTTCGCGGGGACCGCCGCGAACCGGTTGAAACCCACCCCTGCCTCAAACCATGAGATTTTGATATTTGGACTCATTATAAAACTATGATAAAATGGAGAAACTCTAGATTTATCAGAGCTCTCCTTATGGGCATCTCCTTCCGTTGCTTTAGAAGCTCCACAATCCAAAACTGTGGAGGAAAGCGACCAGAATTTTAATCTCCCATAAAAAAGGCAACATCAATATTTGATTATAGTGTACAAGTTGTACAAACTTCAGAAAATAACAACATGTAGCTCTCTCCTGAGTATCTTATTGAAATTTTCTTCTGAGGAAATTCTCCATCGCAGGAGACAAAACATTACACAACTGTTAATACTTCAGGCTAAAGTGGAAAATGCTATCCACACTATTTTTCTAAAAAAAGTTTCTTTATCCTTCCATTTATTTGTTCCTGTATTTCTATTCTGCTGCAATGAAATGGACTAATGGCTTTTCCTAAACTTCCGCAGATCACTGGATGTGAAACCCTCTTCATTAATTGGGCTCTATTGGGATCATCTAGGACAGTTGCTATCATAACAACATCCCTGCGGTGTAGCAACCACCCTGCTGAAGCTTGATTTCAGTTTCAGATTGGCAGTAGAACTGCCAAGTTTATGGCCTTGGGACAGGGGTGGGTTTCAAATTTTTTTACTAACGGTTTTGTGGACATGGCTTATTTTGTGGGTGTCATTGGCAAATTTACTGTATTTTTTGGAGAATAAGACGCGCCTTTTCCCCTCAAAAAAGAGGGTGAAAATCTGGGTGGGTCTTATACACTGAATACAGCATCTTTGGCCTATTGAAACTTCGCCGCTTTTGCAAAAATGGATGTGCAGAGCAGGGGTGGGTTTCAACCGGTACGAGGTGGTCCCCGCGAACCGGTTGGTCGGCGAACCTTGAAGTAAGTAACTTCTGGGAACAGCAAAGGGCCCACCCGCCCGCCCGCATTCCTTACCCGGTTTTGACGAGTTNTGCGCTTCCACGCATGCGCAGGATGCATACAGCGCCTGCGCGATCCTCCAGGAGCAGCTGGAGCATCGCACAGACGCTAGTATGCATGCGTGTGCTGCGTGAGTGTACGAGGACGCCGCTGGCCCCGTTCCAACCGAACCGGTTGGAATGGGGCGAGAAACCCACCCCTGGTCCAGAGGCTTTGGGAGGCTTGCAAAGTGTTCCTGGAGGCTGTGGAGGGCAAAAATAAGCGGATAACGGGCCGTTTTTGCTCGTTTTTGCCATCCCCAGCACCCAGGAGCACTCTACAAGCCTCCCAAAGCCTATGCAAGCCCTGTTTTTGCTTTTTTTGGGTGCAAAAAACAAGGCATGCAGAGGGTTTGGGAGGCCTGCAGAATGCAAAACCCCTTTAAAAAAAATTACCTCTTCAAAATCATGATGCGTCTTATACTCCGGTGCATCTTATAGTCAGAAAAATATGGTATGTTTCAGATTGGAGATGTAAATAAAACATGCTGTAAAACGTAAAAAAAGAAAAAGGCCAAAGAAAACAGGAACTCGAGCTGCGTCGAGCTGAACGCAGGAGAGCTGGAGGGTCGAAGATTGTGTGATTTTATTCACTGCCTGTGAGATCCCAGGGGAGGAGAGCACCCTGCTCACGAGTAAACTTGCTCACGAGTAAACTGCAGATTAGAGGCAGGTGGCAGATCCTGGGATGCTGGCTTGGCTGCTTGCCCCCCACCCCAAAACAGAGCTCGCAGGCAGCAAACAAAACTGCTACCTCTTGCCTCCGTGTATCGAGGCGGGTGGGGAGGCTTGATCCCACTTAGGAGGCGGTGGTTGCAAAGCCTCGGGGCTCCCTGAGTAGCCCATGCTGCTTACTAGGAGGCAGTTGTGTGGATACAGGTGACGAAGACGAGGCAGGGTGAGCATTGGAGTGAGCCAGTTCGGGGGCGTGGCCAGCCAGCCATCACTACTGGTTCGGCAACCCATGCCCAATTACCACTACCAGTTCTCCCGAACCAGTCCGAACCGGGAACAACCCACCTCTGTCTTGGGAGACTTCCATCTGCTGTCCTTGGGAGNAATGCCAACCTGATAATAGTCATGGCAACGCTTTACAAGTTGACACAAACATTATCCTCTTTGACAAATCTATTCCAACAATAATAGCTTCTCCATTTTTCTCTTGGGCGCAGTCGGTCTTCCGTCAGGGGCCATTTTGTCCCTCCCCAAGGCTTTGCTGGATCCGCGGCGGCCGGAAGTCCCCACAGAGCAAACAAGGTGAGGAATTTGGGGAGTGGGGAGATCCACCCACTGCCTAGCCCAGGGGCATTTAGGACTTCGCAGATATTATGGGAAGCTGATGTTTGGGTTTCAGCCAGACCTTCCAAACAATTTTCAGCTTGCCACATGTCCACCTAGTGCTGCTAATATTGCTGGAGGGGTTTGGATACAGCCGAACCATGGGGGTGGGTGGGTGGTGGATGGGAGGGAGAGGGGTTTTGTCTGGCCCGGATTTGTCAGAGTTTGCAGCAGCAATTACATCCAGAAAGCGCACAGAGGTAACTGATTCAGCAGCATTCAAATAACTTCTCTTTATATATAATATAACGCATGAAGTTAATATACAATACCAAAAGCAGGTTTCCCCAACGTAGTAGCGACTACAAGCAAACACAGGCAGAGGAGAGAACAGTTTCAGTTTCAGTTCAGGCAGCAGACTAGTTTAGAGCTCAGCAGACTCAGAGCTACAGAGCATAGCCACACCCAGGCTCCTTGTCTCCTTGTTACTCACGATCGCAAATACTGTTTCTGTTTCCAAACAGCCCTCATTGGCTGACTTAGTTGCTATGCCTGTTCATTGGCTGACCTTGTTACCATGTCTTCCAAGTCATGAACTCTCATGCACTGATAGGACGGACCTTCCTAGGCCGACCTCTCAGAGCCAGGATTTTGTAAGATAAAATAAGAAGAATTACGAATTGCAAAGAGCAAAGAGCAGTGGAGAAATAGCAAAAAAGGAGAATAAGTTGAGGATTGAACCGGGACCGAGATGTTTTCCTGCTCCTTACAGGGAAGAAAACTTGATCCCGTATTCCCCGGATGTGCAAATCCACGCCGAGAGGTTCATCAACTACAATCAGACTATCTCGCGAATGAGGGGCATTTACACAGCCCCGTCGGGCCTGGAGTCCACTTGTCTGGTGAGCCTTTCTTAAACCAATGTTCCTTCAGCTTCGAGAGAGGTGGACTTCAACTCCCAGAATTCTCCAGCCAGCTTGCTACCTGGGGAATTCTTGGAGGTGTACTCCAGTCCTCTTAAAGTTCCCAAGGTTGAGGAACACCATAGATCATTGTCCTTCTGGCCCAGGGAATTCTGGGAATTGAAGTCCAGTCCTCTTAAAGTTCCCAAGGTTGAGAAACGCCTTAGACCACGGGTCTGCAAACCTAAACACTCGAAGAGCCATTTGGACCCATTTCCCACAGAAAAGAAAACACCGGGAGCCACAAAGGTCCTAATTGGAAGTCCCCTGTTCAATTCTGGAGCTGACCGGAAATTCAGTTCCCCCACCATAGAGTCTCCTCCTAGCGCGGC